TCAGAACATCAAAAATTCTAAAAACATGGGGCTGGGGATGTGGCTCAAGCGGTAACGCGCTCGCCTGGCATGCGTGCGGCCCGGGTTCAATCCTCAGCACCACATACAAACAAAGATGTTGTGTCCGCCGAAAACTAAAAAATAAATATTAAAATTCTTTCTCTTCTCCCTCTCTCTCTCTCTCTCAAATAAATAAATAAATATTGTAATTTAAAAAAAATCTAAAAACAATATAAAATTAATTAACAGAACTCAAAATTCTCTGAAGATGAAAATAATTATCAAAAACTATATTTTCTTTATTCACTCAAATCCTCTACTTCTGAATAAAAAAAAAACATCAGCATTATTCTGTATTTGTCTCCTGACTTCCTACTCCCATGCTCAATTTTAGAACCATTTGCCAACCAAGGACCATGGTTCAATTATAGCAATTATAGTTTGCTAGCACTACAGTAACTCCAAAATTAGCATATTTTCAGACACTATAATAAAGAAATTCTAAAGAAAACCAGGTAACTGCAAGGAGACACACAAAACACATTTCTGTGGCTAAGACATTGGACCCTGTGTAGTGCTATGAGAGCCAGGACAAAGACAATCAGCTGTAAAAGTATACATAAAGATATCACTAAATAATCAAAAAGAAAGGAGACACTAAGTCCAAGCACACATACGTAACACTTACTTGGACTATTTACTATTATTAAATGGGAAAATAGTTATATTCCATAAACACACTAAAACTTATATCAATGTCCAATTTACAGAATGATATCACCTTCATGGTCAACCCAATTTAGTGAAGTTTCTCAAGGGCTATGAATTCTTAACTATATTTATTTGATTGCCAAGTACTAAGGCTACCTGAAGACCAAAAATGAATCAATGCAAGAATTTTCAAACATGGAATGTTGGTTGTTTAAAAACAATACCATTCCAACTGGGTGAGTTAGCACACATCTGTAATCCCAGTTACTCAGGAGGCTGAGGCAAGAGGACTGCAAATTCAAAGCCAGCCTTAGCAATTTAGCAAGGCCCTGTCTCAAAATAAAATTTTAAAGGGGAGGGGGTGTGCTAGGGATGTTGCTCAGTGGAGGAGCATTTATCTAGCATGCACAAAGCCCTGGGTTCAGCCTCTAGTATGGCAAAATAAAAAAGCAAGAGACCATTCCAACATAGATTCTGCAGGTATCAGCTGCAGACAATCTGGGTATAAGAGAAATATCAAAGCCAATACCACTCAAAACACAACAAAGAATGGGGGGGGGGGAGACCACAATGGCTACGCTTAGAATTTCCTAAAGAATTGTGTACAACTACAATGCACCAATGGAAAAATGGATGGGGGGATTTCCTTAAGAGTATTCCAGGAAAGCACAAAAATCATACAAAAGAGATAGTCTCCCAAAACAGAAAAAGGCTTCAGAAGCTTAAATCAACACAACAAGTGAAATTCATACTGAGACAAAAAGCCCCAGATTCCCAACTCAATATAAAAGCTGTTCTGAACTGGACAAGTATTTTTATTTGTAAAAGTCTAAAAATCAACCTAAGTAGCAACAGACTAACATGCCAATTGTAAAACTTGAATCATAGCTATTGGGTTCAATAAACCCCTCTTATACTTTGACAGCCAATCTTCCAGTTCAAATACAAATTATCATGTAAAGCATCCTGTCTGAATCTTTTGTTTTGTTTTGTTTTGTTGGCTGTAGATGGACACAGTACTTTATTTTACTTATTCAATTTTTTAATGTGGTGCTGAGGATCGAACTCAGTGCCTCACATGTGCTAGGCAAGCACCCTACCACTGAGCCATAATCCCAGCCCATTCTGGTCTAAATCTAATTTTAATTCTAGAAATAGAATTAGCTAACTAAAGGTTTAAAAAAATCTAATATTTTCTAAAACAAACAGCAAGCAGGTGAAAACCAGAAATACATGTTAGAGCCATGGAACCATAATTTAAAATAATTTAATACTCAATTTTAAAAATAGTTAATTTTTAAACTTAACTGCAAACCAATAAACAGCTCATTATACTTTAATTAGGAGAAAATATTTTAGCCAACTTATTATTTACAGCAGCACTTTTCATTAAGGATACCTAGACTTTGTTATAGTGCACTTTTTTGCTCTTCCAATTTCCCTAACATTTTCTGCATTACTTACAACCAGACAGAAAAATTAAAATACGTTTATTGCTGTCTAGCAAAAATAGCTTACCAATATTACCTTAAAAAACGAACTACTATAATTTTGAGTAAAATGAAACCTAAGCTACATACACTTAAAAGATCTTTGTATCAGCTGGGCATGGTGACACACCCAGGCCTGTAATCCCAGTGATTTGGGAGGCTGAGGCAGGAGGACTGCAAGTTCAAAGGCAGCCCTAAGCAATTTTAGCAAGACCCTGTCTCAAAAAAACTTTTTTTTTTTAAAGGGATGGGGATGTGGCTCAGTGGCTAAGCACCCCTGGGTTCGGTCCCTGGAAAGATCTTTATATTAAACTCAAAAGGAGATATGCAACAATTAACTTTTAAACATAGATATACTTACACTAATGTCATTAAGAACATTAGATGCCTGTTCGTGCTTTAGATTTCCTTTAATGACATGGTATGACAACTCATAGAGAGCTTGCTGGAAATCTGTTAAACACAAAAGAAATAGTTGAAGGACACAGTCTTCTGAACATGATAGGCAGACTTTTGGGGGAAATCGATACATTTCCTACATCTCAGAATTACTATAAACATCAATACTAAAAAGAAAAATGTACTTCTAATGTTTTTATCTAGTAGTTTATACTTTCATTTTTTACAAAACTCCAATGCTAATGTGTTCTTCGTCTTTTACTTATGTCTACAGACTCCACATATTTACATCAACTGTGCATATTGTTTGGTATTTTGATTCCCCTACAACACTTCTAAAAACATTTATTCATGCTACTGTAAGGGGGCAAATAGATGAGGATGGTGGGAACATGAGGTTATGAAAATAATTCTATAAAATAAGCCCCCTGTACTAACTCCCCACAGGCTTTCTTTGCCAAAAAGCAATCTGCCTACAGCCCCACCTGGCCGGAGGGGACAGGAAATGTCACATTCCTCAACTAACTCAGGCAGGGGGCAGAAGGCCTGGCATTAAGTGTAGATAATGAAAGATGGGGGTGGAGAAAGGATGATGGCTGGTTATCACTGGGTGGCTAAAAGCTAACCACTGGGATCACACTTCCCAGATCTAACACCTCCACACCTCCAGGGATCCAATTTCCCAACACAATGGATTACACCAGTGCTGCTCCTTCTTGCCCTTAGGCACAAACAAGGAGAAAAGAGAGAAGGTGGGGGGGAGACTCTGGGGTCTATAACAGAGCAAGACACACCCACATCCATAAAATTGCAACAGCCCCACTTCCTGGAAAAAAAAAAATCTTTTGTTTTTGGAGTGGACACCTTCTGTTGGCCATCTTCAGTTCCACACACTAAAAACTTTACCTCTTTCTAACCACTAAAATCAGGAAAACAAGCACCTCTAAAAACACTTATATAAAATAAATCCTATTATAATTCCCTTTTGAGGGAAATCATAATTTTTCAGGGCAAAACAGCAAGCAAAGAATGAAATATTTAAAAATCTTCTCTCCTGGTATGACTACTATTTACAAAACAGGGACATGACAGATATCAAAGCATGTATCAATCTCCTTTTTACCAATAAAAACATGATTTTACAATGAAATAAATTTGTCCATTAAATCATTTGCTAAATAAATATAACTAAATTACTCCAATTCTCTATGAGAAATCATTACATATATTCTGCCTTTTTACAACTATGCCTTCATAGTGCTTATAACTATATTTTAAAACAGAAAATGGCAGGCATGGTGATATGTGCCTGTAATCCCAGCAGCTCCAGAGGCTGAGTTCAAAGCCAGCCTCAGCAAAAGCGAAGCACTAAGCAACTCAGTGAGACCCTGTTGCTAAATAAAATACAAAAAAGGGATGAGGATGGGCTCAGTGGTTGAGTATCCCCAAGTTCAATCCCCAGTACCAAAAAGGAAAAATTTCTACCTGTTGGTACGGTAGGAACATGACATCAATTTCATGCCTTCCATTTTCATTAATAAAACATCTTACCACACACAATATTTATTTCAAATTATCCAGACAGCTACGATTTGGGTAAGAGGTTTACTGGGGAACTGAACCCAGCCAGAGGTTTTTGTTGGGTTTTTTGTTTGTTTGTTTTTTAACTGAGCGACATCCCCAACCCTTTTTATTTCTTATTTTGAGTCAAGATCTCACTAAGTTGTTTAGAGCCTCGCTGAGTTGCTGAAGCTGGCCTTGAACTTGTGATCCTCCTGTCTTAGCCTCCAGAATCCCTGGGATTACTGGTATACACCAAGGTGCCTAGCTAAAAAATAATTGTTTTAATAAAAGCAATCACTCAGAAGGACAAAACAGCTGATTATCGTAAGCTACGATCCAATAAGAGTTATGTCCCCTAAAGATCATGGGGGCTCAGGGAATTCTCTTTATCACAGAGAAAAATTTAAAAAGAGATAACAAATGGGGTCATCTTGCTAACACTGACAGGACATAAAAACATTCACATTATAATCAGTTAAGTAGCAAAGATAGTCCCCAATTCACAAGTTTTCTAAATCCTTATTTAAAAGTGGTTAGGAACTCCCATTGTATTTATCTAGAGTAATAGTAAGTGATATTTTAAGTCAACCAAGCTAATCACACAAAAGCATGTAAAATCTATACTGGAGTCAAAAAGAAAACTTTACAATGGTGGGAGAAATTTATGTTTTTTGTTTTTTAAGAGAGAGAAAAAATTTTTTAATATTTATTTTTTAGTTTTTCGGTGGACACAACATCTATATTTTAGTTTTATGTGGTGCTAAGGATCAAATCCAGGGCCCCGCGATGACAGGCGAGCACGCTACCGCTTGAGCCACATCCCCAGCCCAGGAGAAATTTATAATTACACACACAAAAGAAAATTAACAGAACACTTTGTATGCCATTAGTGTTATGTTCTAGCCAAGAAGTTGCCTACATTTTGCCCGTGTCCTGAGACTTTCTGTGGGGCTGATTTTAAAAGTGATGGACTAATTCTTAATCTGACATAAGAAATTTCTAGGCAGGATATTATTTAGGCAGTGGCATGGGTATTGCTGGAGGCTTTTAGCCAAGTTTATTGCAATATTCAGGAACACAACGAAAAGATTTGAAAACCCTGGACTTGAAAGGTGGGAGTAAAACTGGAGCTAAGGAAGTAACAGTTGTTAAAGATATCAGGGCCACTAAAGTATGTTAAAAACTCTGCCCAGAGACAAAAAGAAAGATGGCTTGAGGGCATCACAGGAATTAGCAAGACCACATCCATCTTAGGCTCAAGAGAGTTTAAGAAAAAAATGAATCTATGGGTAAATGGCAGAAAGATCAATAGAAGAAAGGGAGCAGAGGTGGGTAGAAGGAAGGGGAAGGAGAGGTACTGGGGTCTGAATTAGAACAAGACATATTCCATGTTTGTATAATTATGTCAAAATGGATTCTACTATTGCCTGGTATAAAGGCACACACTTGTAATCCCAGCAGCTCAGATGTGCTCCAGATGGTGGACACAGAACTGCAGGACTTGTTTGCCCAACTGGATTTTGGTCTTGTTTTGGTCCCATCCCTTCTTTCTATGCCCCTCTTTTTTCTAAATAGAAATGTAACTTTGTACCTTTACATATATGACACCAATAAATTGATTTTGATTTTTTCTAAGGAGCTCACAATACAAGTCTGCCCTGAGACTAAGAGACTTTGGACTTGAACTTTTGGGCAATGCTTAAACTGCATTGAGACTACAGGAACTCTTGGAAACAGACTAACTGTACTTTGCATTGTGAGATAAGTCTGTACTTCTGGGGGCCAGAGGTAGAACATTATGGTTTAAGATATAAGGTGTCCCCCAAGAGCTTATGTGTAAGAACATTCAGAAGTGAACTGAATGGGTTCTGTCTCACCTAGATCCCTGAGGAATGGAGCCAACTGTCTATCAACTGAGTCGTCTGAAACCATGAGCCGCCAAATAAACATTTCCTCCTCTAAAATTGTTCCTATCTGTGTTTTTAGTCACAGCAACGAAAAAGATGACTAAAACAAAACCAGTTCTTGGTTATGTCTAATGTCACTAGTACTATTCATGATTTTAAGCCATCATCACATTGTTGTTTTATTGGTGAAGGTCAGGGATAATTTAGAAAAGGAACAAGCAGTGTGTACCTGAAATGAAATTAACAGCCTGCCTGAAATGAAATTAATTCAAGGGAGGGATAGAAATGAAAGGTCAAAGGGAACACTACACAAACTTAATAACCCAGAACAGCAACAAAGACAATTCCAAAGAAATGGCATTCACTCAGTTTTCTGCATGGACTACCAAATGGGGACCTCAGACCGGAGCCTAACTATTGGCAGAGATCAGCCAAAATGCACAGCCAAAATGCACATGTGTTGAAAAAGCAAACAGGGTTAAAAAAAGAGCACTCACTGGCTGTTCAGCCAATGAGGCCACATACATAACTATTTTTGGTTTCACACATGAATCAAAATAACCATAAAAATTAAAAATGATCCAACAGTTATTAAAGATCCACAGTCCCACTTAAAACTGAAAGAATAGTAATGCTGTGTTATATTAACATCATGGGTTGTTTTCTTCTTTCTTTTTTTTGGGTTTTGTTTTTTAAGGACTTTCTTATCCATCAAGGTTTCAAGCAAAAATCAAAGTTAACTGAGAAGTTAGAAAGTGATTTTAAGTGTGGGGGAGACAAAAATTAAGTATCCAAGTGTTTTTGTAATGCTGGGCTTGAACCCAGGGCTTCAAACATGTTAGGCAAGCACTTCATCACTGAGCTACACCCCCAAGTGATTTTATGAAGAAATATTTTTATACACCCTTAATTTCTGGCAGTCAACTGATTTACTCAAACAAGAACATGTTACCTTAACCACAAAAGTCTTTATGAGTGATCATACAATCTTTTTTTTTCTTTCAGTGCTTGGGATTAACCCCGAGCCTCACGATTGCTAGGCAAGTGCTCTATTGCTAAGCTAAACTGCCAGTCCTTAATTATACAATTTTATAAGTAGGATAAACAAGTTAATAATATTAGGGGGGGGTTGTACGCTAAGGATGTTAAATCAAAAATGGCTCTTTGTTAAAAAAAAAACTTTCCACTAAAGCATATAAACATTCCTTTTTTCTGGGGAGGTAGGGGGTGGGGACTGAAGCCGGGGTACTCAACCATTGAGCCACATCCCCAGCCCTATTTTGTATTTTGTTTAGAGACTGAGTTGCTTAGTGCCTTGCTTTTGCTGTGGCTGGCTTTGAACTTGCAATCTTCCTGTCTCAGCCTCCCCAGCCACTGGGATTACAGGCTTGCACCACTACACCCAGCTAAATGTTCTTTAAAAAGTATATCCTGTTATGTTAAGGTAATATTTAATTTTTTATAAAAATGAAAGTAAACATTTATTGGAAAACATTCTGTCCTAATCTTCTACTCACAAAACTCATAATTTAAATAACCAAAATAAATTTTACATATTGATTTTTAAAAATAGAATGTTGATTGTAAAAGTATTTTTTCATACTAAAAACACTGTGGGTTTTATGCTCAACAAAAGCTACATGTGAAAAATGCTTAAAACTTAATTGATACAATTGTTTTTATTCTTGCCCCTCCTTTGCCAAATCCAATACCTATTTTTAAATTAATAAATGTTTAATAGTAAAATCCTTCAAAATTCAAATCTACATCCAATTTAATTATATAACATTTTACATAATAAATCATATTTGTGTGATATGCAGTAAACAACTCCTTTGCTTTTCATGTTTTCCATGACAACTGCCTTTAACAAGATCCCCAGGTACCACCTGAACATAATCAGCTTTAGTAAAAACACTGAACTCTGGAAATTTTCTAGTACAAACAAAAACAGTTTTTCTTTCCAGACTAGTTTTTTCTCAACTTTATGATTGGTACAGCTAACTGCTAAAATTTAACTAAATATACAAAGTCCCAATTATAAAAATTAGTTAACAGCATATGACTATAATGCAGGTCAAATACAAGATGTATACTCTTACTATAATTTTAATCCTGAGTGTAATGTATTCATATAAATGCTTTACATAATGTGGACTCATACATTTGGTTTTCATATATAAAAATGAATAGAAAGCAGGATAGTTACAAATTTTAATCAAGCCAAAAATGACAGCTATGAAACTTTTTAAAATCTTACCTCTATAAGTCGAACTATCATGGCTTTTATTTTCACTGAGAATCCGGCATAAATGCAAACTAGAATAAAACAGAAAAAAAAAATCTGTATCAATTTCCAATCCTAACACTAGAAGAGTCTTATAAATCAAGTTATATCAGTTAAAAAATATATGGAACTGGATGTGGTGGTTCACGCCTGTAATCCCAGCTACTCAGGAGACTAAAGCAGGAGGATCAAAAGTTCAAGGGCAGCCTCAGCTACTTACAGAGACCCTGCCTCAAAATAAAAACAAAACGGGCAGTGGATTTAGTTCAGTGTATATAGAGTGTTGCTGGGGTGGGGTTCAATCTCCAATACTGCAGGAGAGAGAAAATAGAAAGATTAGGGCAAAAGCAGCATTTGAACAAATGATAAGAAACAATTCAGTTTTCCAGAACTGAAGCAAAATCTACATCTGGGAATATAATAGTTAAGATACAGAAAACCAAAGACAAAATTTTTCAAGCACCTAAAGGATAAAAGACAAGATTATATCATCATTAGAGGACTTCACAAAGTAAAAAATTAAAAAAAAATTAAATGCCAGAGATAGTGAAGATAGAGATAGTGGAGATTCACGGTACAGAAACAAAGTATGTGCAAATGTGAATTCTATACCCAAAGAAAATAGTTTCAAAAAAAGGCAAACTAAAGACTGAACTTCAGTCAGTCACAAAGGCATACATCTATAATCCCAGAGACTCAGGCAGGATGATCAAAAGTCCAAGGCCACTACATTTTGGGATCAAATTCTTACCATACACACATCAGATAGAGTACTAATCTCTAGGATATATAAACACAAAAATCTTAACACCAAAAAAAAAAATACTTCTCAGAAGATATACAATCAGTCAACAAATATATGAAAAAATGATCTAGCAATTAGAGAAATGCAAATCAAAACTACTCCTCTAAGATTTCCTCTCACTCCAGTCAGAATGGCAGCTATTAAGAATACAAACAACAATACCTGTTAGCAAGGATGTGGGGGAAAAGGCACACTCATGCATTGCTGATAGGACTGAAAATTGGTGTAGCCAGTATGGAAAGCAGTATGGAGAATCCTTGGAAACCTGAGAATGGAGCCACCATTTGACCCAGCTATCCCACTCCTTGGTCTATACCCGAAGGACTTAAAAGCAGCATACTATAGGGACACAGCCACATCAATGTTTACTGCACCACAATTCACAATAGCTAAACTGTGGAACCAACCTAGATGCCCTTCAGTAGATGAATGGATCAAGAAAATGTGTTATATATACACAATGGAATATTATTCAGCATTAAGAGAGAACAAAATCATGGCATTTACAGGTAAATGGATGGAGTTGGAGAAGATAATGCAAAGTGAAGTTAGCCAAACCCAAAAAACCAAATGCTTTCTCTGATTTAAGGCTGATGATTCATAATGTGGTGGGAGTGGGGGGCATGGGAGGATTAGATGTACTCTAGATAGGGGAAAGGGGGAGGAAGGAAGGTAGGGAGCATGGGGGTAGGAAAGATGGTGGAATGAGATGGACATCATTACCTAAGTACATGTATGAAGACACAAATGATATGATTCTACTTTGTGTACAACAAGAGATATGAAAAATTGTGCTCTATATGTGTAATATGAATTGTAATGCATTCTGCTGTCATATATAACAAATTAAAATGAAAAAAAAAAAGTCCAAGGCCAGCCTCAGCAACTTTGTGAGACCCTAACTCAAAATTTAAAAGAGGCTGGGAATGTAGCTCAGCAGCAATATGCCCCTGCGTTTAATTTCTAGTTAAAAAAAAAAAAAAAAAAGATCAAACTTCAAAAAACCAAAATAGAGTTTACATATTAAACGAAATGCTTAAGGAACTTCCCCACTCTTTTTTTGAAGCGCTGGGTCTCACAAACAGGTCTCCAGAAAGCTAGGCAAGCACACTAACTGAACTACCGATCCACCTCCAAGCCCTAAGGATATTATTTAGGCAGGATAATAAAGATTCCAGATAGAACCTTAGAGTTACAGTAAAAAGTGATGAGGAAAAATAATAAACATATAGGTAATTCTAAATGAATGTTGTTATCATCATCATCATCATCATGGTATTTAAATATATACAGTATTAAATATATATAGTTAGAAAAATAATACCAAAATATATCAAGACTAAATTAAACTTATCCCAAACACACAAGGTTCTTTCAAAGTAATTTACACCACTGTTTTCTTTTTTTTTTTTTTTTTTAATATTTATTTTTTAGTTCTCGGCGGACACAACATCTTTGTTGGTATGTGGTGCTGAGGATCGAACCTGGGCCGCACGCATGCCAGGCAAGCACGCTACCGCTTGAGCCACATCCCCAGCCCCCATACACCACTGTTTTCTAATTGTCTTTTTTTGTGTTTATTCCCCCCACATTATAGGGTTAGGGATGTAGCTCAGTGGTAAAGCACATGTGCAAGGCCCTGGGTTCAATCCCTAGCACAGCAAAAAAGGAAGTAAAATCATATAATAGTTCAAAAGAAGCATGAAAAGCATTAGACAGGGGTTGGGGATCTAGTTCAGTGGCAGAACACTTGCCTAATATGCATGATGCCTGGATTTGCTCCCCAGCACCATGAGAAAAATATATATATAACAAAAGTCACTATTCATTCATTTTTTAATAATTTTTTAAAGTCTCTTAGGTGAACAATAGAAGGGAATTTATTTAATTCAATGAAGTAGCAGTTCTGAGCATGTGCTTCAACAAACCCAATCTCTGAGTTTCTCTGGAGATCTGCAACGTCAAACTTAAATTTATAATAATACCCAGACATCATTTTCCTTTATTGCTGTACAGATATTTTCATTACCCCAAGAGCAGTGAATGGTAAGACTGCTGGTGCCTAGGCACGTACCAAGACAGTAGCACCAAACTGTCTTATTGACTTCTTCATGGTCAAGAACTCAAAGCAAATTAAAAAAAAAAAAAAAAAAAAAAGGCCAATCTAAAGATGTCACCAGTCAGTTTATTTCAGAATTTCCTTGGGGCTGGGGGTGTAATTCAGTAGTAGAGCAGTAAAGCACCTGTCTGGCATGCACAAAACCCTGGATTTGGACCCAAGTACCACAAAAGAATAAAATGAACTTGCATACAATTTCAATGTGGCTAGTGAGGCCTAGCTAGCCCTAAACTGTGTTGTTTGTTTGGGGGTTTGGGTTTCCTTTTTTTCTTTTTGTGTACCAAGGATTGAACCCAGGGGTTCTGAACCAAAGAACATTCCCCAGAGCCCCCCCCCCCCTTTTGAGACAGAGTCCAAGTTGCCTACGGCCTTGCTAAATTGCTAAGGGTAGCCTTAAACTCACAATCCTGCCTCAGCCTTCCCAGTCACGATTATAGGAGTACACCACCATGCCCAGCCCAAATCTAATTTTAATCTTTAATTAAGAAAAAACAAATAAATGCCCTTGATGGGACTGATGTCAGCAATAACAGACTGGGAATCCCCAAAACTTCCTCCCTCCTATTAAAACATCCATTCAACAACACAAAAAACAATTCCCTTTATGAGGAATCTAGACACCAACTGAAAGACTCCTGTACCCAAGGCAAGTACAAAATCAGTCACATTGAAGCCAGCAAGAAAGTTCAGGGGATGTTCTCACCAGAGTTGCTCACCACCCCACCCCAGCACAGTTATCATGTGATCAGGCAAAAGCTCCAACACCTGAAGTCTCCCAAGGGAGAAAAACAGAAGACTGGACTCTATGTCCAAAGTGCTGAGCATTCCACAAGAGTAAACCAAGGGAGGAGTTTCTATCTTGCCTGTATTGGAATACAGATGGATCTTAGTAGCCTGAGCTGGGCATCATGCTATAGCTCCATAGGACCAATTGCTTCTTCCTTAGGGAAAACAGAGTGGATAATATGTCCAACATTCCATCTTTTGCTGGAACTGCAGAAGGGACTGGGCTGTGACTGACCTGAATCAGGGTGCTAACAGGATCTGGCTTACTCAAGATGCAGGGAGTGGGGGGCACTGAGAACATAAAAGGGGGCTGGTAGGCATGATACTACTTCAAAGGACCAGTAGTATAATACATGAACACCAGACAGACCAAGACATCACAAACACCCCAAAACAAAAAGAAACCAGCAATTTTCTTACTATAATATTCAAACAAACACAAATCCAGAGAAGACATACCCACAGAAAAGGTTTGAGAGGTTCCAACAATTCCTCAGCTGGACTGATAAAAGTTCTCCCCTTTATAAAGTCAGTCCATAAGGAGTATAAGGACTAGGAAAGAAAATTTGCATATTTTCAAATGTGCAAATACCAATACAAAACTACAAGGAACATGGAGAAACAGGAAGACATGGCCAAGGACCAAAATAAATCTGAGTTACCCAAGAAAGGATTCAAAATAACTATCATAACGATGTTCAACAAGCTCAGGAAAATGATGTATGAACAAAACAACAATTTCAACAAAGAGCAAATATTTTAAAAGAACCAGAGAGAAAGTCTGGAACTGAAGAATGCAAAAAACTGAACTAAACTGGGCGCAGTGGCACAGACCCATAATCCCAGCAGCTCAGGAGGCTAAAACAGGGGGATCCAGAGTTCAAAGCCAACCTCAGCAACTTAGCAAAGCACTAAGCAACTCAGTGAGAGCCTGTCTCTAATAAAATACAAAACAGGGCTGGAGATGTGGCTCAATGGTTAAATGCCCCTGAGTTCAATTCCCAGAATAAAAAAAAAAAAAGAACTAAAAAAATCCAGTAAAGGAGTTCACCAGCAGACGTTACCAAGCAGAAGAATCCATGAACTCAAAGACAGGTCAGAAATTATCCAGTCAGAGAACTGAAGTAGAAAAAAATAATGAAAAAGAGTGAAAAGAACTTAACAGACTCCGGAACAATATTAAGTAAACCAATATATGCACCATGGGAGTTTCAGAAGAATGGACCATTACTTTGGTCGAAAACTTCCCAAATATGGATAACAGAGATTCAGATTCAAGAAGCTCAAAGGATCCCAAATATGATAAACACAAAAGGGTCCAC